TCTGTGTGGATGCACGATACCTGGAAGTGTTCAAGGCCAGGCTGGATGAGGCTTTGAGCAACCTGGTGTAGAGGAGGGTGTCCCGGCCCATGGCAGGGGGGTTGGAACTGGATGATCTTTGAGGTCCCTTCCAATCCAAACCATTCTGTGATTCTATGATAGTGCCTAGTAGTGCTTTGCTCTTTCTCTTAAACAAACGTACGGATGTTCTATGTGAAGCTCCCACTAGTGTCTAGAAACTTGGATGCAGTTATGCTGCAGTGAGCTTTAGTTTTAACGGAGCTTTAGTAATTACTGGGGGCTTTGTGTGTGCGCCCGCCCTCGTGTTGCATCAGATATGAAGATGTCTGCCTTAGCCTCAAAGAAAAAGGCTTAAAGATAAGATACAGGAAGATATTTGGCAGTCAGGAAGAACACAGTGTGCCCAGATATCCTGGTTCAGCTGATGGACGCTGACTTAGGTCATATCCACAAAAATCCTTGCTGATACCATATGTCTGTATGGATTAAGCTGTCAATATGCGTAAACTGAAGTTAAGGTCAACAACTTTCTGTGCTTTAAGATGTTGTTCTGATTGTGGACCTTAAGAAAACTTCTCATTGAATCTTTCTTATAGGTAGAATTGTATCTTGAAAGTAAGAAAAGCAGCATGTTTTTCTTGCAGATGCGCTCCAGGTGCTGTGTTCCCATGTGGCAGTAATGCTCATTCTCCTGAAAATCACTGCTGTTCTGACATTTTATTTAAGAGGTGTTGTTTCCTTTGTTTTCTTTTTTTTTTTTTACAGGCAACAATTGGCATTGACTTCTTATCGAAAACCATGTATTTGGAGGATCGAACAGTGAGTAAGATTTTTGTTGCCCTTCTCTGTGTACAGTAGGAATGAGGATCAGCATCTGTTGTAACTGTGCAGCCCACAGCTCTGAGATCCCTTGGAAGTACAGAGTGAGCCTTCATCTGCCAGCTGCTTCCAGACTGACTCCCTTCTCTGGTTGGGGAAGTGGGAAATCACCATTGGGCTCATCCGTGGAGGGCTCATGAGTGCCATTTTACAGGAGGTGCTCTAGTGTCATCCACTCTGAAGATGATACGGATCGTTTGAGGGGTGCATCGTGGGGAGAATTTGGAGAAGGGGACCGTGCTTTGGTTTTTGATGCCACAAGACAGAAAGATAAAATATAAATTGCCAAATGTTGCCAGTTAGTAGCTCGCTTGATAGTTCTTAATATTACTTGTTTAAAAAGAAGGTTGCCTTCAGTAATAATCCACAAATGATTAGCTCGATGCAGCTCTAGTTCCCGAAATGAAATCACTCCTCTGTGGAAACAAGCCTGTGGTTTCAAACGAGCTCAGATTCTTAATTAAGAACTTGAGCCATCGAGCTGTTTGCGGAAGCCAGTTGCGCAGCGCTGCAGAAGCTCGTGGTGTTGTACAAACCCACAGTGAACGCAGCTGCGTTGCAAGTGCTTGAGTGATGGGATGTGCTTTCCTCAGCAAAACTGGCCCTTGCACGAGACGTCGTTTTTAGTGTATCTTGCCTTTTCTTTCAGAACCTTGATGGTAAGAGACATTCAACCTCGTCTGTGTGCACGTTACCTTGCAGTGTGGCTAAGGCTAAACAGAGAGCAATAACTAGTGGTTTATCCTCCTTGGGAAATTCTCATTAGTAGCTTTTCCAGAGCTTCGACAGCAGCTGAAGGCTCTTTGTTTAGAAGTGCATGGTGTGTGGTCTGATTCTTCCACCAGTAACCATCCTCCAGGATGCTGGAGGTTACATGCTTGAGTCCTGAGGAAGGATTAGGCACTGGCACAGGTTGCCCAGAGAAGCTGTGGCTGTCCCCTCCCTGGAAGTGTTCAAGGCCAGGTTGGATGAGGCTTTGGGCAACCTGGTGTAGTGGAGGGTGTCCCTGCCCATGGCAGGGGGGTTGGAACTGGGTGATCTTTGAGGTCCCTTCCAACCCAAACTGTTCTGTGATTCCATGATTGCAGCAGAGCATGAAAATCCTGTGCAGGCAGAACTGTAGGTCAACGTTTGTTGTAGTTTTCTCCTCTTTTGGAAGGGAAATGTTTTTTAAAAAGCAGAGAGAGCAGAAAGGCGAGATAGGTGCACACATACCAGTTTGGCTACTGCTGGCGCTTGGGAGAGATTGCTGTAAAGGAGGAGACAGTATGCTGCTGCTCGCAGTCCCCAGTCATCTCCTGCATGAGTTTATAGTTTTTATTTAGCTTTTTTCAAAAAGTAAAATTTCTTTACTCTTTTATTTTTAGTGGCAGTTTGGCTTTTTTAATTTTCTCCCACCCACAGATCAGGTTGCAGCTGTGGGATACTGCGGGTCAGGAACGTTTCCGTAGCCTCATTCCCAGTTACATCCGTGACTCTGCTGCTGCTGTAGTAGTTTACGATATCACAAGTAGGTATATTGCACTGGGTTTGACCTTTTTTCTTATTTTTCTTGCTTGTTTGACTGATTTTGTTAGGTACGGTTGCAATTGTGGGACACAGCAGGTCAAGAACGGTTCAGGAGCTTGATTCCTAGCTACATTCGTGACTCCACTGTCGCAGTTGTTGTTTATGATATCACAAGTGAGTGGGGGGAATTCTGCATTTCTAATACTCTGCCCCTTTCATCCTTTAGCCTAGCTTTGCATGTCCTGTCACAGTCATCTGCTCGTTCTTCATTCTGGCATGAAAAAAAAAAGAAAAGTTTTCTTTTATTGTAGTCGAGTTTTAAACAAGCCACCCGATTGCTGCTGTTGTAATGTGTAAACTGTCACCGTTTTGTAACCCTTTCCTGTCGCCTTGTCCTGAAGCCTTGAGTCCTGGCTGGTCTTGTTGCACTTTACCCTCTTCCATCTGCTTTTTGATCGTAATATCACCTATGATCCTTGGTCTCAAACACCTGAATCATGTTCATAGATATCTGAGTTCTTTAATTAGAGACTTTGCACTGATAGCTGTAGCTTGCTTCACTCCATTTGCCCTCCCCCCCATAAAAAAAACCCTCTGGGCATGGGCTGGGGGGGAAATGCATTAACATCACATTTTCATTTGAATCAGTCACTTTCACGTTTTGCAAGATGTAAGACTTTACCACTAAGCCCTTACCCTTTAACAAATGCTCTTTCATTTCTTACTAAGGTATGTACGTTTTTGTGAACTAAAATATTAGTGCTTTTTCAACCCTTCTCCTTCTGTCCCTCCCGCCAGTCCAGAGACCCCCTAACTTGCTAGCTGTCTGCGTTTTCAAAGAGCAGAAATTTTGTTTTAGGAGAACTAAACCTTCAGACACTTCCAGTTCTAAACCGGAATTGACTGAGAGCAACGGCCTAATTCTATACAAATACAAAAGCTCTTGTCCTTTGATTTATAAATACTGGAAGATTACAGCAGGAACACAGGCTTTACCTGTAAAAGCTTTAATTGTTAAAAATAGCACTTTCATCTGAGCTAAAATTACAGGTTAGCTGTCAACTTCGACATTTTTTTACTGACCGTGCAAATTCAGTGTTACGAAGTAGTAGTAAAGAGAAGAATTAAGATGCTGGCAAGTGATCAAGTCTTGACTGTCCAGCATGTGATGTAGCACTATGCAGTAGAAGCCATTAAAAAAAATCAATACTTGTCAAGAATTGCTGCAGAGCCTCCTCTTTCTGAACTCTGGAAAACTGCTTTGGCAGCTCCGCTGCTCTTTGTGTGGCTGACTGCGAAACGGCAAGCTCCGTGGCAGCTTCTTTACAACTCCTTTTTCCTTAGGGGGTGCAACTTTTCAAACAACATACTGTCTCATTAGATCAGGGACAACTTCCTAAAATTCTTACCTTGCAGCTTTTCAGGATGTATCATTAAGAAAAAGCATCTGTGGATAGGTTAAATTTATATTTCTGGTTCTACGCAAATAATTTGGAGACTATTTTGAGCTCGCTGTTCAATGCTACTGGAGTTGCTAATATGTTGTATAACCCTGATATTTCCTAGGGAAAATCCTGAACCTAGCAAGTAAGAAGTCATTAAGACGTACGAAATCAAAATGTGTAGCTGGTTTTAAGTATTTCTGAGAAGCAGCGAAACTGTAGGAGCCTCTCGCTGCGGGTGCACAAGTCATGGGCAGTGTAGAATGCAGTATCGCATTAATCCCCACTCTTTTTATAAAATATTTCATGTCGAACTAAAAAAACAAACAAACTGGTCCAAACCACAGGGATAAGACTTCTCATTTTAGACTCTAGATCAACTCTGGCTTTGAACTCACCTGTAATGAAGTACCAGTCAGTTTTAAGTTTTCATCCACGTCAGCGTGGGAGACTCAGGATTTCACTTGCTGATTCTTCATCACCCTGTTACGCCAATTCCAGAGAATAGGAAGCTTTTATTTGAGATTTACAGATGTATTTACCAGCAATCTGTGAAGACTGCCTGCAGCCATAATCCTCTCCGCTGTTCTCTGCTAGATGTAAACTCGTTCCAGCAAACAACAAAATGGATTGATGATGTCAGAACGGAAAGGGGCAGTGATGTCATCATTATGCTGGTGGGAAATAAAACAGATCTAGCAGATAAGAGGTATGGAGGAATAACTCTTCTTTCAAATGTTTTTCTTAATCTGCTTTTTTTTTTTTTTTGCCTAGACAACTATTTTAGAAAGAACACTTGGGTTTTGATGGTGTTTGGTTTTTTTTTTTTTCCAAATGCTCAAGCTTGTTTTAACTACACTAGAGATGGCTGTGACTAGAGAAATCTCAATTTTAAAACTTCCTTCATTTGGGAAAGCACGAGTTTCCAGCACAATGCTGTGAATTAGCTGAGAAACTCACAAACTTGTTCAGATGTCAGGAGAAAACAGAGCGTCACCTACAACCTGCATCACTGAATGAATACGCTAAAGTCGTTACAAATATTTGTGCATAGTAGATTTACTTAGATAAAAGTGATAGGGGCAAGTAATCTTCCCTTTTAAAACTCCGGGTAGAAAACCCCTGAAAACTTAAATATTTTTATTACAAGTTGTACATCTTCAGTTTTTGCTGCTTTGTGTGCTCTGCTTATTCTGGGTTTATGGTATTCTTAACACAAATGAGCAAAAAGTCACAAAAGTAAAACAAAAGCGTGAGGGAAGTATTCTGGATTTGATTGAAATCCCTGTTTCCTCAGAATAGCTTCGATTGTGACCCTCACTTCAGATTTCTAACATCCTATTAATAATTGTTTCTGCACACGTACGGCCCTTATATACGCTTGGTCCTTTGTTAAAATACTTGGTTAGGCTGCAAGCTGACGGTAGTTGTTGAATATTAAAATCTATTGATGGCAATTATTCAGACATAAAAGCATAGCTTCCTGGAGAGAGGTTTGGAGGAGTCTGGTTGGCCCTTGTTCTTCTGGAAAGCTGTGTACTTCTTCAGGAGCCAGATGTGCCATAGAAGTCCATCTGATCCGATGAAATGGTGGTACCTTTCTTGCACCGTGCTCATCTGCGTGCAGGAAAAAAACCAAACACTAAATGCTTGCAGAACTGTAATGAAGCAGCTATTTCCTTGAGTTGAAGATGAGAATCTTAATTTTCAAGGTGTTTGTCTGTTTTTTTTTTTTCCTAATTCTGTGCTATCTTCCCCAGACAAGTGTCCATTGAGGAAGGCGAGAGAAAAGCCAAAGAGCTGAATGTAATGTTCATTGAAACTAGTGCAAAAGCAGGATACAACGTAAAACAGGTGAGTCACGCCGTGGCTGCAGCCAGCCCCCAGAGTCCTTCTGTTAACACACCTATTTCTGTGGAAAAAGGACTTCCCGAGGCGTTGGGAAGGGTGTCGGAGGGTGTTTGTGGTCCGTACACAACAAGCAGCATCCACGAGGCGACTCGGTGGCTGAGGTTCAGAAGGATCTCGGACCTTGCAGCAAAGGAGTTGGAACTTTTCTCCCTTAGAAAAGAGGAATTATTGAAGAATCTTTGTGGTGTCAGGGTCATACCTTCCTGGATTTTTGATAATCCAAATGTGATGTTGAGGTCAAAGGGATTAAGGCGTGAGCCAAAAAGTTGGGGAAACACAGGTCTGAGGACTGTTTCTGATACCGATTCGATGAATAAACGTGGGCAAACCAGCCAAGGAGGAATGTGATGGCTCGAAATGCTCCCAGTGCACAGTGACACAGTGTAAACTGGTGCTGCCACTCTGGAAGGCACTGAAAACGTGAGCAAACGTTCTTGGGCAGCCTGAGCTATTTATTTCTGGAAGATGATGAGTTGCTTTTGAGTCAGGGAAAGCGGTGAAATGACTTCTGAGCTGATGCAACTGCAAGGAAATCAGGTTTTATGTTGTCAGAAGAGCTGCGGTGGTGGAAGCAGTAAACACTGTGGAACTGATCTGGTGTTGACACAAAAGAGATTTTGTTGGCACTGGTTAGTTATGTAAGCAAATATGCTTACTGCAGGTCGTGAGCAGAGGGCGAGAGCTGTGCGTCCCGCCTGACTCCGAGCGTAATGGGATGCTGCTTTTCCATTGATTTAGCAATTTCTCGTGTGGAGTCGTGGCTGCTAACGCGTTTGGCAGCTGGTCTTACAGCGGGAGGAAATGCAGGAGTGCAGGATGTAGAAGACAATTCATTCTTGGGTGTCTCCCCAGAGATTATACACTCCCCATAAGTGTATAATCACATCTATATTTTATATATATAGTTACATAAATAGTTTGTGTGCAGAATTGTATCAGGAGTTGCCAAAACAGGATACAAATTACTTTGTACATTACAGACAGGACTAAAGGGTCTGTTATTAAAATGTCCCTTGACTTTGTATATTAGCAGCAAAATTATTCCCTATATAATGGAATAATTAGATATGTTAACCTCACACTGCATTCAGCACATCAGCAAGCGTAAAAATGTTTGGTTCCAGGGTCCTCCAATTATCCTGCCACAACACAGAGGCTGGTTTGTAATTAAGGCTTAGATTTTGTGCTGGAATCCTTAATGTTTACTTAGCCTAAGGGATGTGCGCTTGGGAGCAGTTGCCTTGCTGAGAGGAATGATGATGATGATGCTCTGTACTCCCTCTTTCCTTGAGGGAGTTGCTGTGCAGCTGCCACACTTCCAGCAGTCCGTGTCCAAGCCTGTGAGGTAGGCTATGGCTTTTGGGGCCAGTTGGAGCTCTGATTGCAAGGTGCTGCACGTGGGTTGGGGCAATCCCAAGCACAAGGACAGGTTGGGCGGAGAATGGATGGAGAGCAGCCCTGAGGAGAAGGACTTGGGAGTGCTGGTGGATGTGAAGCTCAACATGAGCTGGCACCGTGTGCTG